AATGTGATCTAAATTAACTAAATACTTGTATTTCAAAAGATTGCCTGCTATTATAATGATTGACCAACAGTTGATTTGAACAGAGTGTTTTGGATAAACTATAACTCTGCTTATTCTATAAGAAGACTGTCCCATTCTTTTAATGAATTGAATGCTACAGGTAAATTCTGATTGATATTTACAGAAACTTTCTTGGACCACATGAGTTATTTGTCATTCATACAGAGATAAATATAAATTGAAATGAATTGTGTCCAAATATTAAGTTCTATATACCCTTGCATAATTATGCATATGCACATGTCATGTAGACCGCCTCCGTGGTCGAGGGGTTGGAGTCGATGACTTCTAATCCAGTTACCTCTCTGGCGCGGGTTCAATCCCCGGAAGATGCTTTGGTAGTTTAGCACGGAGGAAGGTAGTCTAGTACTGGTGTAACTATCCAGGAACGATGGTTAGGAAACTATCCGCCTATGTGACTGAAATACTGTTTTGACAAGGCGTAAAAACAAACAAACATGTCATGTAAGGGAATATGGAGGGTCTTTTGTAATTGATACAAAATATAAATGTGGAACATTGATTATCCACAACAATTATGTTTTTTGACAATTTGGTACCTGAAGTCACGTGATATAGTCACGTGATTTATTGCCCTGTCAATAATGAATACATTATATAACTCATTTAAATAATCAAATTCACTTCGGTTCTGTCCGTATAGATTACGAGAATTAATTTCTAATATGCAATTCATGTTTTGAAAAGTCACGATTGCTTTTAGTACAATAAGTCTTTATTTTCTTCTTTTTGCGGCATACATGTATTTTGTCGGAAAACAAACATTTGTGTAAACTAGTATTCACGGGATTCACGATAAAAACTCTCATTACGAGGGTGTTATATTACATATATGGGGATTTTGCTTAAGCATGCCTGAACAATCTTAGCCATCTTGGCTCGAAAGCTAAACAGATTGTTATAAATGTATAAAATTACTTTCTAAAGCAACCAAAGGAAGACAACGGGTCGTGCATCGAGCGCACTGCTCGGACGACCGGGGTTAGTACTAGGACTGTATATAGAATTAGAAAGGAACACAAAGGACCATTGAAATCTCTACAGCGGTCTCAGAGAGGAGATTATAAACCTCTAGATGACTTTGACACAACTTTAATCAGGAACCAGATCCATGAGTTTATACGGTACGTCGACAGCTGCCAACACTAAGAAACCCCCACACAGTACTGAAAACGGACATTAATTTTCCTGGAAGTATATAAACTTTGAGGAAAGTAGTTAGGCAGTTGGGCTTGCGTTGGAAGAGAACTTCAAACGACAGGAAAGTACTTGTAGCCGTCTATTGTATCACAGAGGTTTTCATACTATATGAGGAAGAAAGAACTAGAAGATCTAGGATTTAAACTAGTGTATGTGGACAAAACTTGGGTTGACTCTGCATATTGTGCAAAACGATGCTGGCAAGGACCAAACAAACCAGGGTATTTATGCCGTGTAATAAAGGACAGATGTTGATAGTTTTGCATGCAAGATCGACAGATGGATTTGTTCCTAGAGATCAACCTATTCATAAAGCCTCATCAAGCACAGGGAATTACCATTGAGAAATCAACGGCGAAAAGAAATGGATGTAGACCCAGTGCATACCAAACCTTGACTGCCCGTGTGCCATAGTGATGGATAATGCCAGTTATCATTCCGTCCAGACATAGAGATGCCCCACATCGAACACTCGGAAAGAGGATATTAAGGTAGCTAGTCCTTTATACATTGATCAATAAAATAATCACTTGCTGTATACATGTATATGTTTTTTCGTAAATTGATATCTTTGCTGTTTTATATTTCCAGATCTGGCTACAAAGACACAATATCTCTTTCAATGACTCCTTGTTTCGTGCACAGCTTCTAGAGTTGGCACGGATGAATAGACCTCCTCCAACATACGCCATTGACTAACTCGTTAGAGAAAACGGCCATGAAATTCTGAGGCTGCCTCCGTATCATCCCGGTTTTAATGCAATAGAGATCATTTGGAGCCAGCTTAAAGACATTATTCGTAAAAGAAATACTACATTTAGGTTAGTAAAGTTTTATATTAATATAAAACTTGCGAATATGACAATACATTTTTAACAGTTCAAAACTAATTTTCACAAATTTTTATAGTTCAGATTCGGGGATTTTCAGAAGATTACTAATGATGCATTTGAAGAGATTGGTGCGGACAGATGGCTGAGTGCTTGCAAACATGTAGACGCGGTTGTTGAGCAGCACAAAAACAATGCTCATTTCATGTTTTGTGCCTTAGACTGAGCGATTGGGTGATACATGTTGTAAACCTCTACTCACCAAATGACAGAGCTCTATCCTTGGACACTATCGATCCAGAGGACACAAATTACCTTGTTGTTGGTGACTTCAACAGCCATTCCCAGAGCTGGGGATATGACCATATGGACAGGCGCGGAGAGGCGGTTGATACCTGGCAGGATGAGTATAACCTGATTCTGATCCAGATAAATGACCCTGACGACCATCCAACATTCTACTCCAGACGTTGGCATTCCACATCCACACCTGATCTGGCCTTCTATACAGAAGACATTCACAGCAATGTCACCAGGGAAGTAGGTGAACAATAAGGCGGAAGCGACCACCACCCAGTTTATCTCACCATACAGTGCAAGGTCAGAACAGAGTCCAATTTCCCTCGATGGAACTACAAGAAGGCAGACTCACTGATGATCTCTGCAGAGACATTAGAGTAGATGGCAGAGACGTCAATAAAGGCATTAAGGACTTCAACGCTGCCACTCTTAAAGCTGCCCATAAGTGCATACCTCGGGGTGCCAGGAAGAATTATAAGCCATGCTGGAATGAGGACTTAGAAGGACTCCAGAACAATCTATCAGAAGCCAGGAGGGAGGCAGATTCTAACCCAGCCCTTGAAAACAACAACAATCTGCAACAAGCTAAGGCCAAGTTCCTCAAAGCAAAGATTCAGGCCAGGCGAACATCCTGCAGAGAGAAAACTAAATCTCTAAACCTAGAAAAGGACGGCACTAAGTTGTGGAAGCTCACCAAGCAGATGAATGGTGAAGCAGGTAGTGAAAGAGGCACAACTTCGTTGATAGAGGGTGATTCCCTGCTGACAGGCAAACAGGCAGCAAACAAATTCGCTGACAATTATGAGGAATAAGCAACATTCACAACAGCAGGGAAAGATTGAGAGAGGTCAGAAGAGAGGAAGGAGAGAGGACAACAGGGAAAGCCAAGGAGGAAGTCATGGAGAAGGAGCTCACCCTTAGTGTGCTTCATGCTGCTCTACGTCAGCTCAAACTAAGAAGTCACCATGTCAAGATGGCATCACAAACGAGATGCTCATACAATTGGGCTGCCTTGCAACGGGCAAACTCCTGGAAATATACAACTTCACCTGGAGAGAAGGACAACTCCCACAAATATGGAGAGAGACGACCATGATCCCCATTCATAAAGCGGGCAAGGATCGAAATAAGGCATCAAGCTATCGCCCCATCAGTCTCACCAGTGTTGTATGTAAGACAATGGAGAGGATTGTGAACCAGCGTCTTAAGTGGTATCTGGAATACAACCAACTTCTAGCTAACCAACAGGCTGGCTTCAGGCAGTTCAGGTCTACTGAAGACCAAACAACATACCTTGCCCAAGAAATTTAGGAGGCTTTTCAAGAAAAGAAGTCACATGGATCGACCTCCAGAAAGCATTTGACAAGGTATGGACAGACGGTCTGCTGGTCAAGCTACAGAGGAATGGCATTGTAGGCACAATGTACAAGTTGGTCAAGTCGTTTCTGTTTAACAGAAGAGCACGAGTCAGAACCGGCGGGGCCACCAGCCAAAAATTCCTACAGAGACATGGTGTCCCTCAAGGTGGTGTCCTGTCGCCCACTCTCTTTCTCATCTTTATAAATGATCTGGTGTCCGATCTAGCAAGAGGTATCAAAGCAGCACTCTATGCAGACGACCTTGTCCTATGGTGTTCAGAAGAACATGCCACGACTGCCACCTACTGGATGCAACAAGCTGCCGACCAGCTATCAGCATGAGCAGATAAGTCGTGTGTACAGGTGAATACAGATAAATCATGTACCACACTGTTCACACTGTCACCAAAACAGAAAGCTGGAAACATCTAAGTCAGTGGCACAACTCTTACTGAAGTGGAAGAGGCTACCTACCTCGGTGTGACCTTTGTCAATCGGCTGACATGGAAGCCCCATGTAGCATATGCTGAAACCAAGGCCCGGAAAAAGCTAGCTATACTCTGGAAACTGGCGGGTACCAACTGGGGGAGCAAATGAGGAAATACTAAAGACAGTATACCAAGGCACAATTAGGCCCCATCTAGAATATGGATCCTTAGCTTGGATAACTACGTCAAAGACAAACCAGAATGTGCTCGACAAGGTCCAAAACCAAGCCTTACGTGTAATTACAGGAGCAATGAAATTCATCCAATCAAGGCTATGGAAAACCTTACAACGATTCCACCACTCAGTCATAGAAGAGATGAAAAGGACTTGTACAAGCCAGCAAATATGAGTTCCTGCCAGACCACCCAATGACACAAAAGTTACAAGGACTGACAAAAGATCGTCTGCGCAGAGATAGCTTTGTACACGAGGCCAACAAACTGACTAGAACATATGCTGAAAATCTTGGTCCTTCTATTATACCACTTGATAAATCTGACCTGCAAACCCCATGGATTCAAGAACTGTCAAACACCCATATTAATACGACTGTGCCACTACTCCATCCAAGTACAAAAGATGATGTCACCAAAAAGGCACTCACACTCGCAATGATAGCTGGTGAGTACCCCAAAGAGCCATGGACCCATATCTATACAGATGGCTCAGCTACAGCAGCTATCAAAGATGGGGGAGGTGGCATCTACGTCCAACATAACAATGGTAGGAGTGACACAGTGTAGCAACGGGGAAATACTGTACCAACTACAAGGCAGAGTATGAAGCCATCAAGACAGCTCTGAGAGTGATTGAAGAGTCTCCAGAGGACTGCCCACAGATCGTCATATTAAATGATGCTCTGTCGGCACTACAGGCCCTAGAACACCACCAGCTGCCTGAACTATCAGAAGTGCTTTCTCGCATGTCACAAACCAGACAAATAGCATTCCAGTGGATCCCCGCACATTGCGGCATCCCTGGAAATGAAAAGGCTGATGAACTGGCAAAGCTAGGAGCGGAAGGTGATCAGCCCATGAACCACATCAGCTACAATGAGAAGACCACAACCATCAAAGCAGCAATGAGGTGCCAGTCAAACAAGGATGACTACCACTACCTGGACAGGAAGGAGCAAGTAACTATCTTTAGGCTTCGCACAGGTCATAAATGGCTGAACGCACATATGTTCAAACTAAAACTAGCTGCCTCTCCTAAGTGCTCTTGTGGACGTGACAACCAAACAGCTGAACATCTCCTACAACAATGTCCTCTCCTGGAACAACAGAGAAGAGCCGTGTGGCCACATGAGACCGGGATACAAACGAAACTACACGGCGCAATGGAGGAACTGCAGAAGACGGCAACATGCATCGATGTGGCAGGTCTGAGATTATAGCGGTGAACGAGAAGAAGAAGAAGAAGAAGATAAATTTGGCTGATGACAGCAGCTCGGATTCTGACAGCAGCACAGACACCGCGAGCGAAATTTAGTGATAGATTTTGACCACTGTTTTGTATTTCATTTTACTTAATTAAACTAAATTGAATTGATTATAATTTGGTTGAATTTGGTTCACACACATTAAACATATATACACCTCTTATTGATAGCAAGTTGTCGGAAATCTTACGGAAATGATCGAAAATTAATTGATCATGTGCATAGACCGTATAATCATTATTTGACAGGTAAATAAAATCAAACAATACAGGTGACACAAACAAGTAATGTAAGTATGAATAATTACTACTCATCAATACTCAGAGTCAAACAGCCTAACATACTCTCTTAATGTGAATATTTACAATGAGTATACACTCAAAAACACTGCCACAGAGTAGATATGAACTGTGACAATTACAAAGGAATATTGAATGAAAAGGCATGAGTTATCTGTCTTGATTTGCGATCATAATTATGTGTTGATCACTGTATTATAGAATATATTAAATGATATACATTTGTAAAGTTTACAAAAATGTTACATGTATTTTTATGTATTTAGAATCCAACTCTTGTGCACTGTCCACAAAATTAGTTATTAAATGAAATACTGTATAGATTATGTTTTGATGTATGAAATGCTCGTGTTATTTTGACATAATACTTTGATTACAAGTATAAACTATTGTTTTGTAAATTAAGTATATGTTTCGTCACTTCCATTTCCTTTTGCCATTTGCGGCATTTGTGATCGAGTGATTAACTGCACAATCTCATGTAATATGAATAACTATACAATATTATTATGATAACATTTTTGAGATAGCCATTTTTCCTTCCAGGTAATTTGGGCATTTTTAGATTCCAAGTCCGGTGGTGAAATTATTACCACTGATGAAAACATATTTGTTGAAAGCAAAGTATGTGAAGAGGGCTCGAAGAAGTACGATACAGTAAAGCTAGAATTCAACAAGCGTATAACGTACATGTTGGTGATTAACTGTCGTTGATTATGGTTACTATAAATGTAATACATGTATTCAAATCAGAGGTCCGGCATCATGGCCTTCAAAAATAGGGCATCTTATTGTCCAAGGTAAATGTAAATTATATTATATGTAATTATTCATCATTTAGATCTTTATGTAGAAATTGTACATCAATTGATCTGGTATTAAGATATAAATGTACAGAATAGATCTTTGTGTAGAAATTATGCATATAGTTGTCAACTTGACTGGCTTAGATATAAATGAATAAAATGTCTTTGACCTCTTCTTAATTGCTATACTAGTCTGTAATAATATTGCAAATATTGACAAATTAATCTACATATAATTGCATATGTTGACTAATTGAATTAATTCTTCATTTGAATAAAACAATAATATTAATTAATTTATGTAGTTTAATATTAATTCATATAGTTATTGATTGGTTTGGTTGAAGTATGTCAGTACCTTATTATATAAGATGCTGCAGGTGCTTCAAATCCGCATATATATAAATGAAATGTTAATTTGGGTTAAATCTGACCCTCTTTTTTATTGTGATATTAATATTTCTTAACTAATTTTATCATATTTAAGTTCCGCCAACTATTACCAGTAACAACGTGGCAGTGTTACAACTGGACATGGGTCACTCTCTCACAACCTTGAATGTTCTGCGACAGGCGTACCCGCTCCAAATATAACGTGGATCCGGTCAGACGGAGGACTTCTTCCTGGATTAGATGCCGCTCAACTAAGGGTTGGTTTACTTGATTGACATGATACTTGTTGAATTATTTGATTTTGTTTGTAAAATTTATTAATTATTATAAGATTTCATATAGATCGATGGGTCTGACTTTGGCTTACTTGCTCATTTTATCTTGCGCATTTCTTAAATTGTCCATACGATATTTATATAGTAAATTATCGACAATTTCCGCTTGTCCATACAGGTTAAGGGACAACCTGGGTAATACTGAGGATTAATTTTGTTGTCCCCGACAGTTCAAGAATTGAATGTAATGGTAATTTAATTGAAGTCAACATTATTATATAGATATATGATAATATTAAGGAAGAAACATGTATAATTTTCATCTTCCCTTTCTTTTAACACTTAAAGTCTTATATCAATATGATATTTGCTTTTTGGCATGATTTATCTATTTTTGGTATGCAATTATTTCAGAACACCACATTACCTTTAAAGAATGTAACAAAGGAAGACCGAGGGCTGTATAAATGTATTGCAGATAACCAGGTCAGGCCGCCAGATGTATATCTTGTCTCACTAAGTGTCTTCTTCAAACATGAGACACTTGCTGTGCAAGATACTGTCGGGCAAGCTCAAAATTTGATTTGACAGTTTGATGCTAAGTTAAGAGTGTCGAGTATCAGGTAAATATTTAAAATACTTTGCTTATTTCAGTACCTGTCCGTATTATTTCTTTCTGATATTTTTGTATTAAACGCATATCTATCATGTTTTTCAATTTTTTAGCAGTGCTTCCATTGTTTTCTTTACAAGTATCTGACAACTTCTCAATTTTAATCAACAGAGGATGATTAATCGTGGTGTAACAGTATTGTGTTCAACTAAATTGTCACAGAAACACAAGAAATATTAATGCAAGATTAAGTTTTTTATGTTTGTCTGAAGGACAGCTTTGTATTTATAGGGGTTACATTCAACAATGATTTTGAGAAGAATTTAAGATAAAGAAGTTAACTTTTTATTAAGTAATTTTATAAACGATTAAATTATAACATTTACCATCTCAATGTTATTGGTATGACATCATCGTCATGTGAATTTTATAAGGGGATAAAATCAATTTAAATAGACTTCATTAAAATTTATATCTATTCGATATTTTTCATTAGTTATTTTTATTCTTTATTACTTGTGACTAATCTAATTGAATCAAGTTTAAAAATGATTTTAAAAGTAATATATAGTTAAGTAGTAACAAGGGACAATTTTAATGTATTTTATATGGTTATGTTTTGTTGTATACTAACAGGTTATCCTGAGCCGGAAGTGTTGTGGTACAAAGAACCGACCAGGAGTGAAGGAAACACGCAATTAATGCAGTTAAATGACAATGAGAAATATGAAATAACAAAACTCATTGCCACGACGACATTACGTTTCAAAGAAGCCTGGTATGTGCTCCGAATTAAAAACGTGGAGGCAAACGATTACACCAAATAATACTGTGTGGCAAGAAACAGAATTGGAGAAGACAGACACACAATTATTGAGCTTTTTGGAAAGTTTATAAATTGTGCTTCTTATTAAGTTGTCCTCTTTTTATTGTTTTCTTGTGTATGATATAGGCTATTGATAAATTTTGGTTAATTTCTTAACCATACAAGTGTTTACTGTCTGTTACGATTGTTTACTGTCTGTAAAATTTGTCTCTGTCACAGGCTTTGAGTCTGACCAGCATGCAATAATAGCATATCCATGTACTACGTATCAGGCTCTATACAGTTGACTGTCTCATTTTGGTTTTGAAATCCTGCATATTCAAAACTTGACAAATTTAAATTTGAAGTAGGTCAAGTCTTTCACACAGATACAGCATGGCAAGGGTTACCTCCTGTAATTTACTTAAGAAATATGTTTTGTCTATAAAAAGAATCAAGGATGAAAATAATGTGTGCCAACGTATATATTGTATATACATGTATAATTAAATGACAAAAAACGTGCAGGAACAAGAAAAATAATATTAGAAAATAACCGATTTTGTCATTTTAATATAATGCTGACCAGTTTCTCTTCTCTATCATCAGGGCAAAATATATCTTACATGTTGTATATAAAGTTCCTTCAGACTTTGAAAATCATTAATTATGAATGTCGCTTTCATTTTACTTCATGTATCACATCAGAGTTCATCATTGTAACTAGTTTGGATTGGATATTGAAACAAATCTAGTTTAACTTTATTCATATTTTTTCACTTTTATTTCAGAAACAATGGAGTGTCAAGGGGCCATGAATTGTCCATCTTTCGAAGCCCAAGGTGCCTCAGCAATCTCTGTATCATTGTTGGCAACAGTTGCTATGGTTACACTCGCAAAACTTATGTTGTAGCTGTGATCTGATTGGCTCTTAATGACTATGCATATCTTCTCATTTACATATTTTTGTTAGTAACACATGATTTGAAAATGTATTCAGAAAATAGTAACTTAATGTTAAAATTTATAAAAAATGGATCATCTATTAATATTAACAATTTAAAATGTCTTTATTCAGTAATAAAGATAATGAATGGTTGAGGAAAGGAATGAAAGATGTATAATCAATATAAGATTTTATGTTTTTGCAATACAATGTATTTGAAATGTAAGCAGCAAATATGTGTGCCATGTTTCATAGAATTAAGTAATGAATTATACGTTCGGCTCAAAAATTTATTTCTTTTAAATGTTATAGATAGATTATGGTACTCGTACATTTTTGTTAATTTTATAGCATTTTTAGTTTGCAATCAATAGCTTTTTCTGCAGAAAATACACAATATAGTGGCAAGATCCAAATGGAAATTGTAGAAACATGTATACAAAGTTACATATCGTATCAATTTTATGAACATATTATTTTTATACAGGGACCATTCTGTTCATGCTATCGTCAGTTTTTTTTTAATTCATCTTCATTTGTATAATAAGTTTTTTAAGTTAGAAGTTCAATACACATGAAAAATATTATAGATTATTACAAGAAATGTTTGGGGAAAGGGTTTTTGACGCTTTTTTGATAAGACTCAAATTTTGAAGATTTTTTTTTAAGAACTTGAATAATGTTGATAAGGCGTTTTGGTTAATAAATAAATTATTTTTATGATTTGATTTATTCTCAACTTTCAACATTTTTTTCCTAGGAATATCACATTACACACAATGTGTATATTGTAAATATTTATTGTATATAATACTTTTTCTAACATTCCAAAATAAAGATTTATAATTTTCAGTTGTTATTTGTTTCATTGTCATTACAATCCCATGCAAAGTTATAGTTCACTTTTTGTTGAATTGATTTGTGCATATAACTTGCTTTCCATAGTTCATTTGTGTCATATGAACTTTCAGGGATATATTATCATGGTCAAATATTATTTGTTTGTTTTATTGGGTTTTACGTCACACTGACACAGTATAGGTCATATGGCGACGTTCCAGCTTTACTGGTAAAGGAAGACCTCAGGTGCCCTTCTTTGCATTATTTTAGGCACGAACGGGTACCTGAGTAGAATCACCGACGTTCCGTAAGCTAGCTGGATAGCTGCCTCACATGAAAGAATTCAAAGTCCCTGTAGGAATTCGAACCCAGAGCGGTGAGGGGCTAGTGGTTTGAAGACAACGACCTTTACCACTGGGCCACGGACGCCCCCTCAAATATCATAGCTGTAGCTATAAATACATATAAGTCACTGGGTAAAAAATCTAGGTCAACTGTAAACAATGGTTGTTTCTATACAAAAGGTAGGTCACCAAGTCAAAATCTAGGTAAATCTGAAACTGTGTTTATAGCTGTGTACCTGTTTACGAAAATTAAAATTTAAACTCTATATTTTAAAGCAGCATGAGCGAAAATATATGAATAAATCAAACTTGTGAAAAATGTACTTTTAGAAAGATTTTAGGAAAAGTAGAAAAAATCGGGTAACAATTTAAATGTTATGAGCAATCAATAGTTAATTTTTCATTATGTGTATGTTGACTCATATTAGTAATTTTTTATACAAAATTGACATAAACGTGTATATGGAAGTGTTCAGTTATGGAAAAAAATAAAAATAATGACCTAGTTATAACCAATTTATATAGACCTTGTGATATAAAGTTTTCACGGTAATAAGTGGAAACCATCTTGCATTTAAGGCCGCTGTGACCTTGACATTTAAACTAGTGATCCCATTATCAATAGGGATTATCTACTAAATATGGCCTTTCAATATGTGAAATATGAAGACTTTTTGACATAAAATAATTTTCAAGAGAATGAGCCGAAACCATTCTGACATTCAAGGCACCTATGACATAGTGATCCCAATATGGGACATCTATAAGTTATTACCAATCAAAATGTGAAATATGAAGAGTTTGTAATTTTGTAATAAATAGTTTTCAAGGTTTTCAAGAAAATAAGCAGAAACCATTGTGACATTTAAGGGCCCTGTGACCTTGACCTTTGGACTAGCAATCCCAAAATAAATGAGGTCATCTACTAGTTAAGACCAATCACTTTGTGAAATATAAAGACTTTGTGACAAAAGCTTTCAAGATAATGAGCAGAAACCGTACTTACATCAAGGCCCCTGTGACCTAGTGACCCCAAGATCATTAGGGGTCATCTTCTACTTATGTCCAAATAATATGTTAAATATGAAGAGTTTAGACAATAAGCAGAAACAATTCCAACATTTAAGGCCCCTGTGACCTTTACTTTTGACCTAATGACCCCAAAATTGATAGGGGTCATCTACTATTTTTATCTGAAATCATTGACCTTGGTTGCAGGGACCTAAATTGAATGCGCAACACTCCGCCTCACAATGATGAAAATGTGTGCCAAGTTATATTAAAATCTTTCAATTCATATAGAAATATTACTCTGGACAAGCATTTTTAAAGAGATTCAAGTGTGACCTTTGATCTAGAGACCTTGTTTATGTGTGCGACACGGCTGCTCATAGTGGTGAACATTTCTATTCTATTTCAATTACATCCCTCAGTGTGTTTACGAAAACTGATATGCTCTGCACAAAATTGCATGCTGCCTGCCCGCCAGGGGCGTTCCGATAATACATCTCATTTGAATTTTCAAACGGGCATATAAAAAAAAAGGCCACAGGTTCATGATCCTGGGCCATAGAGGAACTTTTTTGTCCCAATGGCCTATAATTTGAAGAAGTCAACTAAATAATGTTTCTTGCCAAATATTTAAGCTATAGCACGTGAAGGTTTTATAATTTGAACAAACTTGGTAGAGCCCCACTAGGCAATGTTAAACATCAAATATCTTTAGCTCTAGCATTTGGGATTTTAGTGATGATTTTAAAAGTTTTTGTTTGCAATGGCAACCAGAGTTCTGCATGGAATGTAATACTCTGAACAATTTTGAAAAAGCTTCATGCCAAGAACAATCCTGCATAGTTTTACTGGCCCAATGGTTTACGAAATGTTGTTTGAAACAAAAGATGGTGACAGAAAACAGATACAGCCTTCTTACAATAACGCACAATCAGCATGTTGTGCTTAGGCGAGCTAAAATAAAATAACATAGTTACGGTTCTTCAACATTGAACTTCCTGTCACAAGTCTATCATAAAGTTTTAATGAGTTATAATTAGCTCAAACAAGAATACTTGACTGAAGGGAGATAATTCAAAAATTAAATAATGCAGACTTCTGGTTATTGGACTCTATTGTCTTTATCACTGTGTGACAACTTTATCAAGTTCATTCAATACTTCTGTTATTCTCCAGACAAGAGTATAATTGGATGGACAGAGGGACAGACAAGGTACTGAGGATATATGCCCTCCCTTTGGTGAGCAAAAGATGTGCAATAAGTTGAATAACTGCAAACTCACTTCAAACCAGCAAGATATAGGCTCTATATACTTTCACAAACTGTTAAACAAAACTTCACTCTTCCCACTGCACTTCCAGAAGTGGAAGTTTGGGAGTCATTTACTCCTGATTTTGGCTTGCAACTTCCAAAATCTTATGTTTTTCCTTCCTTACCAATATAATGTGACTTCAAGACAAACGGCAGTGTCACAGTTTCAACCTTGATAATAAGTTATCCCATCATAAATTATATTGTGACAGAAAACAACATCAACAATTGACAGATCTGTACAATATTTTTTTTATTTATTTCTATTATGTACATATCATTTAAATATTTATAAATCATGTCCATCAGTAAAGCACAATTTTTTTTCATCACCCTCATTCAATATGTAAACAAATGCTGAAATACCAAATCTCAGTCCAGTATTCCATCAACAATTAAATTGAATAAACCACATACATTGTACATGTAAGGTAACATATTAGTACACTGAAAACAAGTTCCTATTAAAGTTAATATATTATAAGTTACCATTTTCATTTAGGTTATTTTGGCAACTTTTTCAACAATGAAGCTATGTACTATATTGCAGTGTGAAATTCTTTATACCGGGACAAATATGAAAACAAGTGATTTTAGTATATGGCTCAGGTCACAAACACCTTTAAGTTAATCAAATGAATGAAATACACAGCACAATAATGGCCTCTGGAAACATATTTTTACTAACATGGGTAAAAAAAAAATCCTGTTAAAAAACAGTTCCACTGTTTTTCTAGGCCATTGAATATCTCAACAATTTAAGTATTTTGTTTTTGGTAGCAAATCAATCGAATGCACAGAAAAAAAACTGGTACAACAGTTAATAAACAAATTGCCAACAGATAAATTAACAATCGGTGTCAGATTATGTATATTTTGAATGTCAAGTTCAAGGGACACAACTCAAGGAAAATGGAGAAATATTACTCATTTTATTACAAACACACTTAACACAATTCATGGTTACTTAACCTTGTTTCATGCCAGAATCAGACTTTAACAGAATGTGCTGTGTAGCAGGATAGTCAATAATTAGATCTTTTTTTTTTTGAAAATTTCACAATTGAGTCCCATTATGACCAGCTAAGCGCTTGATGTTTCTCCTCAACGTACAATTTAAGGTGACATTATGCTCATTTTTTCATTGTCAAATTGCACTGAATTGACTATACTGTATATTTAAGATTGCCTGTTATACGATTGATCCAACAGTTGATGAGAGGAAATGTTTAGGATATAATGTAATAATTCTGCCAATCATATACGCAAACGGCCCCATTCTTTATATAAATTGAACGTTACAGGTAAATTCTAACGGACATTTACAGATGTTTTCTTGGACTACATGAGTTATTTGTGATTCATGCAGAGATAATTATAAACTGAAAGGAATTGTGTCAAACTATTAACTATATACCCTTGAATATGCATAATGTCACTTTAAAAATGTTTAATTATCGACAGTCCATAAACAACATGTATTGTGATTAAATTTTTATCAGAACTTAAGAATGGTTCTAAAAACAAGAAAATTATTCAGAGTTGGTGCAGTTTAAATATAACCTAACAAATGTATAAATAATATGAAATAGAATATTGACAACCTTAATATTAATGCTTCACTGAACCATTTCCTTAACAGAAACATAAAATCATTTCAAAAGAACATACATTAATTAACATTTTTGCCACATGGCATGTAGGGGCATATGGAGGTTCTTTAGTAATAGAGAGAGCAGAACATTGACTATCCATTAATGATTATGTTTATAACTCTTAATCTACAATTTCAGTATGCATACTTCTTCACTGGTGTAAAGATGGCCAAAACCGCAGAGTTGCAATTAAACAATTACTTAAGAATGCAAACCCACAAAGTCTCCTTTAGGTTATAAAGAACAATTGACTTCTTTCTCATGAACAAGTGTCGCTCTCTATAGAAAGAAATCAAATACAAGCAAATAATGACAGAATTAGACAGCTAAAAAAACTACATCTGAAATTGAAAACATACGTGAGTGATATACATTAGAAACTATGTTCTTATCTTGTAAAGAATTACAAGCTCATTGTCTCACACTGCATTAGTATAATAAAGTATGTTTAAATAATCCAGGGTTAAAACACTGTATGACAAATTTCATACAAATCTGTCAAAGGTAGAGCAGCTTATAGTCAAAATACATCAACATTCTGTAAATATGTCTTTACATATAAATGATGATAGCAATTCAATGAATGACAAATTTTTTTTTTAAATATATAATATACTCTGAAATAGCCAACAAATAGACACAAATATGTTCAATTACGAAACATATTATCCCCCCTATAACATCCAAACAACAAACACACTTTCAATCTGGCACAAATACACCCCCCCCCCCTTTGCTTATCCCCCCTGATGCACTTCAATGCCTATTTTTAAAACAACACTGAATCATATTCAGTACAGTTTTTACACTTTTGAACACTTAAATCACTCCTACATCAAATGCATGATCTTTCAAATGGACTTAAGCAAACTTGACTCTGGAGAAGGAACTAAATAGTTTGTTTTGTTTTTTTGTCTAAAATTTTACTGATCAAATAGGATTAAACACAATGACTCTGGAAATATAACCAAATTTTTTTTTTTTTGCAAAATTTTACTTAACGAGCTTTCTTGTAAATAAGCTATTTTCTAATTAGTTTCAGCTCAGCACTTTGTTAAAAGATTCCTTTGTTTTGCCAGTTTCATGCAATCATACTGTGTTACATAATTTCTTGTGGCAAAAATTTATACTAAAGAATCTTTCTTATAACAAGCTTATTTATTTCAGTTCAACACTTGATTAAAAGATCTTGTTTGTTTTCCCATTTCCATTCAATCATCACCAGTTACATAATTTCTTGTTGCTTGTGTTTTTAAACTGTTTTTCTTCCAATAAATATATAAAGTAGTTGAGTGGTTTTGTGTTACACTATTTCATACTTGTCAACATAAAAACAGACTTCCGATGAATATTTAGCAGATGAGTCATCCTCCAATAGTTTTATGTCTGTAATCTGTAAAGATACAAATCATGCGTAAAAATTACAAATATAAAATTATAAATTTATTTCAAACTTGACATTGCTTGCTTTTTCTTATAAGATGCGTTTCATTTCACTTTATTATTTATGATGAAATACAGATTTAATAGTGAAGGGAGGCACAAAATCCTACATTCCCAGCAGTACAATATAATTGGCACACAAGAAAAACCATGTATTTCATTTCAAGTATCTTTCTTACAAGAAATTTACTAATGGTTGCAGTGAAATTTCAATTTGTACAACTTTAATGGTATAATGATTCAAAGCTTGGCATCACATCTTTACAGCAGATTTATCATATGGGAGCTTAACAGCTTTCCTGGTGGAGGAAAATGTCAGTTGCCCCTTTGTGTATTATTACAGGCACCGGACTAGAACCATATGAAATAATCCAAAGTTCCCAACGGAATTAAAACAAACCACTGCAAGGGGAAATAGATTTAAGTGGGCAACATTATTCTATTTGCCACAGAAGCACTGAGATTCAAATATAAAGGAGAGCAAATCAATTAGCGAAAGGGTTATTGCAATATTTGTTTGTATATTTGTTTCATTTAACGCCTTTTCCCAACAGTATTTCAGTCATATAGTTTCCTAACCATCGTTCCTGGAGAGTTACACCAATATTAGACTACCTTCGCCAGTGCTAAACTACCATAGCATCTCCCGGGGATCGAATCCACACCTGAGAGGTAACTGGATTAGAAGTCATCGACTCTAACCCCTCGACCACAGAGGCGAATCTATTGCAGTATTTAACTATTGTACTTTAATGTTTAAAACAAAAACTATATGAATATTTTAATCATGACATTTCAATCTAGTACCAGATCTACATACCTGTATATCACAGTATGATTTCTTTGAAACAAATGATACATTGACTGGGAAGAAATCATCTGGATGACCGCCAACACTAAACTCCATGCTACCTGACTTGTTTGATGAATCGATGACCGTTAAATTCCACTGTAACACGTTTTTCCGACTGTCGTAGTTATACTCGCCATCACAGTCACCTACAACCGGGGCACCGACTCCAGATCTGGTGGGAGAATAAACATAACAATAGAATTCAAATACTGAAAAACCATGCTGTGATGACCACAATCGTACTTCAACCACCTAGATTTCAAGGAATCTTTCAAGTTGAAAATTAGCTTAACAAAATAGGATATCAATTAGTACACAAATTTTATCTTGTGGTTAAAATGTTGGAGAAAGATGCCTTTTACATACTTTACAGATTGCCTCACACATGACTATAAAGATAAACCTAAATAAAACTTTGAACTAGGGCCAGTCCATATATATGATAAGGTAAATTTATTTGAAACAACCAGGTAAATAAGTAAGGTTAAACAAATATGAATGAAGTCTAGAATACTTACGGTATAGGTATTGAAATAAGGACATCATTTAGTTCAAGATTTGGTTGTTCAAGTTCATATTCTATGTTTACATCACAGCCATTACCACTCTCATTGGGCCAGCAATTAACTGAAAGAACACGATTGAAACAGCTTCACAAAACTGATGATTATTTATATATGTACATAAGACACTACCAATAATACATTATTTGGAACAATTTGACATCAGTTACCTACCTCTATTTGTCTAGCATTAGCACTTCATTTATTTACAAAATTTTGCAATAAAAATAAAACACTTTATAATACTGCACGTTTGTAACGTCATTTTTCATTGGATAATCGAGACGTTTATAAAGTTTTATATACACGGCTGATGTCGATTCATGACGAAAGCCTACTTTTATTCTCTAAAAATGATGCTTGCTGTATTATAAATTCGTTATAAAGATTGTTGGCAGGTTATATGGCCGTATATAAACGGCTGTTTGCAATATAACCCTCGCCTAACGGCTCGGGTTATATTTACAAATAGCTGTTTATATAGGGCCATATAACATGTCAACGATCCTTATAACTAATAATATACATGTATTTAATCAGATCTACAAAAACCAAACCCTCTTTGCATAGACAACCTATCCCTAAAGGTTACTTCTTAATGTCTAGATTCAATTACAAAAGAAATGTCCAACCCTGATAAAATCATTATTATCTTACTTTAAGTTTTCTTTTCCATTCAGGACAACAATGTTAATCTTTCTGGCAGACAAATACCTCAAATATGTTCATCCAGTACATGTATTAACATATTTCTCTAAAACTTTACTATTTAATAGCATAACATGCACAACAAGTCAACTCACATGTCAGTCACAATCCTTAGATTTACATACATCATTCCTGATAAATCTTAAAAATCATGCTGAATATATATAATAATCATCTTACTGGACAATGGCATGAAAGATTCATCTTGTGTACTTAACCTCCACTTGAGCACTCCTATATCCTGCCCAACAGGGAATGGTTTATCCTGATTCTTCAGTCCTATTACTGATTGAGATGCAAATAATTTCTTGTCTATGTTTGGATGAGTCTGTAAAAATTTTAACAATTTTAAATTTCTTAAGCATCCAGATTCACTCTCTTATTTCTATTTTGGGGTTTACTGACTCCAAAGAGCACTTCATGCAATTAAGGTATGACCCACCTAATGAAATACCTCTACTTTGAAGAACATTTCTTCATTCGCTACAAACAAAAATGATAATTGTTTTTTTTGTTAAATTTTTTTTTTAAATAATACCCTCTTCTCTTAAGTAACCTTTTTTAATTTAGTTGAACAAAAACTTCATGACATCAAAAATTACCTGCATCTGTACACCTTTTTTGTCATTATTTGCAATGTTTAGAATAGCTCTAGCCATCTTCTCATCGTTTATTTTCAGCTTGATTATACCATGTAATTCTAAACTCTGTAAGCCACCATCTCTACCAGCTGTTACTGAGATATTTTCCTCTATTCGTACATGAATTCTGAAATAATTACAAAATATTAACAAAACAGTGAAAAACTTTAACAAATTGCCTCTCCAAGACACACACATGTTGAGGCTCTATGGTCATTTTGTTTGTTTTTAATCATGTAAAATCTCACTTTTACAGGGAAATTTTTTATTGGAATTATTTCTTGAATGTACATGAATTCTGAAAAAAAAAACCACAAAAATATAAAAAAAACATTGAAGATCTTTTACAAATGGTCTCTCCAAGACACACTGACACATGTTGAGACTACATGGTTTTATATTTGTTTAAAAACATCTAAAATCTTAGTTTTACAGTTTTTATTTGGAATTACATATCACCTTAGAAAAAACCAACATTCTGTAAACAAACCCTTTCTGTATGATGTTCTCAGTAGTCAAGAAGCAACACATGTCAAACAAATATTCAGATAAAATGCAGGACAATTTGTTACTCAAAATATTTTTTTCTGGATTTCTGTACCTCTTCATAACCAAAATTCCATTTCTGGTTTAACACGAGATGTCATCTCATTTATTAATGGCACCTACGTTACACGTTTATAATTCCGCCAGTTTTATACATGTAAGATTTACCTTATACACTATAATCTTTTGTTGTGAATGAGTCAACATGAAATAAGAACCATTACTACAACTTTTTATATCCCATTATGCATACAAATTAAACAGTTCTTAATGCTTAAACTGCTGAATTTGTTTTTATAGATCTATACTGTTTTGATTTTAAAACTATCTATTTAAAGCTTAAGAAAATTCAATTTCAACTATTCCCAGTGCTTGTAAGTAAGAAAAGAGGGCATTAATCTGTAAAAATGTCAACTCAGTGTTAATGGTCTCATGCCTATCATGTAAGGTTATCAAAGAGAACAAGTGTATGAACAGTGAAGTTTCAGTCCATTCCCTTCAGAAGTTTTGGAGATACCAAATTGAATTAAAATAATCTTTTAATTTCAACAGGTTAAGTTTTCACATCAAAACTTCCCCGATTAATTTCAGGTGTGGGTGTTTTTACGAGACTTTTTTTGTACTAGATATACACTTTTTACTTCGTAATATATAAATAATACAATCATATCATACAAGAAAGCATTTTTTTTAAATTATTTCCGGTAACAAACCGAAATAAATAATTAAACTGTATCTAAGAGAGCAATGTAAATGACAATATCGAAGAATTACTATGTTGTTTTGCTTTTTACGTAGATTTAACACATTTTAAGTCATAGCTTAGGGGTCACTTCACCTAACTGGCTTTCCGGGATTACTAACTAGAGTAATTACCAATTTCTCTGCAAGAGGCAGTTCTGGCAGTCTGTCCTTTATGTGCTTGTGATATATCAGTATTTATATTACGATAGAATTTTAACTCAAAACTATCATAAATGCCACAATTAAACACCATTTCACACACATATTTATAATTATTCCTTAAGAAAAGTATTGATTTTCTTTTTAATGAATAAAAATCTTTTTTCCTTGACACTTACTTTCTCCTTCAGACATAAGCTGTCCTACAAATGAGTCCACATCTTTCTTTTTGCTTCTTAAGTCCATTGCCTTTCCTTTACCAGATGGTCTACTAAAATTATTATATATCTACATCATTGAACTGCATAAAATATGAATCACATCATAAATCTATAAACTGTTTGTAATATTCTTATACAGATTTTATAAGCAATAGGCTTATAATTAGTTATATACATATCCTAGAAACAGTCCCTTGCACCAACTGGTACTAAAAATCACATGCGTGAAGATCTTTGCTCAGGGAAACAACTAATTGCCTGTGTCCAGACTTACACCCACACGGCCAGCAATCCTTAAATTACTACTGATGTATTAACTACTCAGCCATGCCACCATTATTTCAAATGTTTGTATTTGATAAAAAAAAAGTTTTTTTTTATCAAAATATAATCATAATGACCAAACATAAAAGCAGCTTATAACACTTTCCTTTATACAGTACACTTTCCTTTATACAGTCACTTGACAAAATTGACACTAAAATAAACGGCATTGACTTTTACATGTATTTGTATTGACATTTGATCCCTTGTATCATAATAAAATACAAAGTTGACATACCTTGGTGCTTGGTATGATGGTTTTGTAGGTTCTGATGGTGTGGTATCTATGATAGTTGCTGAATCACCTCTATCACCTCTATTGAATGACGAACTGCCAAATCCTCCGCCTCCAAACCCAGATGGGGCACGCCCACTTTTCTCCGCCTCCTGTCTCTGTCGCTGCAACTCCTTTGCTCTCTTTCTCATCTGGTCCTTTGCTTCCTTCTCTTGTGTCTGTAGATAAAATAAAAGATATGATTTCACTATTAAGGTGGAAACTGACTGGACATTTTTATTTTTTTTGGTTAGGTCCTTTAAGCATTACTGGTGGAAGAAGACCTATTATTTTTTAGGCATGAACAGCTGGAAACTTCCTCTTAAAAAAGAATCCAAAGTCCCTGGCGGGATTCACACCCAAAACGGTGAGACTGGACAAATACCTTCTTATTAATACTGTACTTTGTGCTTAATGACTGATACAATATGTTAAAAGTACACCTGCCACCCTGGTTTTCTGTCAGAGCAATTTCATAAAGGCACTAGTCACCTGATTTCAATTATTATATAATATATACATGAGCAACATGTAGTTCATACATTATATCCATGAGATGCAATTATTGTTTAGTCGCATACCTGTCATACACTTGCAAGTTAAGTAAATTTCAGAAAGCCAACTACAACTCTTAAACTTATTTTTTCTCTATTCAGAGTGTCACTGCTTCAAGTCATGACCAGGCTGCTCATTTTTCTCGGCGCCAAATAAAGGGACAATGATTGAAGGTAAATAGCTCCAAGTCAAATTTAACACTGTTCTCTGTAACCATTAGAAACTTGCAGACAAATTTACAAATTTAAATTTACTGGGGGACTATGTCACAATTCAGCTAAACTATAAATACATGTATATTCAAACTAAATATAAAGCATACCTGTCTGACAGCTAAGAACACCTTCTCCTCGTGTGAATCCATCTCTGTAAATGTTCTAATCTGTGCCAAGTTTACATTTTCTCTATAGCCTAAAGCAACGATTTCATCAAACGCAAATATCAACTGGAAAGCCTGATCCACAATATCAGACTCATCCAAATTTCGGCAGTATTCTGGAATCTGAAATTTTTAACATATATTCCAATGCTGAGTTAGTCTATGTAAATAAAATAAGAAACATTCCAGTGTACCTATTCTAAGATAGCAGTAAACAGAAATTAGTGAACAATATAATTTTTTATCAAGCCATTGCAAAAGCACATGAATAAAATTTAATTTAAATGAAAAAAAGTTGATAAACATGTCTATATTTTATGTATTGCATCATATTTATCATTTAATCATTTGATGTTGCCTTTCTCTCATCAGGATAATATGCAAACATGTCAACTAACAAATTTTGGCTAACTAAATGCAATAATAAATTTAATGGTGAAATATTTATTATTCTATTATCTGTAAATTCTACTTTGATTCATTAGCAAGTAGATTTGTTAAAAAAAGTATCTCCATTGCATCACAAAGTGTAATATATAACAGACATTGCATCACATGAGTTTAACAAGTAACTAATGGTAAAATGAAAGACTTTAAGGGAAGGAACAAGAAGGAAAGTAAAACTACATACAACTCTAGCAAACAGTCTTAGTGTCTCCAGATCCTCAAGGATATTGCTGGCTTTTGTGGTAATTAGAAGCATGTACAGTTTCTCTAAAGGTTGGTACACATATCTGACACTGTCTGTCTCAACAAACGTGTGTTGTTTACCAGTGTTCATCAGCTTGGGAAATGCTGCCAAAAGACCTTCAATTCTAGATCTGTTCATTTCAACAAACTGACGGGAAATAATGGCTATAAACAAATAAAAAAATAATTAACCAAAATCCACCTTAATAACTGGTCACAATCATATTCATTAAAACAAAAAGACGCCTTAACATTAAGAAATTCAGTCAGATGAAACCATTACAAACATAAAAGTTAAACAGCCGTCATATTCACCCACTTCTTGTGTGTTACGCTCATTTCAATTTGCATTTTGAATCTCTTTTGCATATTTCTTTACAAGCAATATTTCTAACCATTTCCTTTATCTCAAATGAAGGTGTTCATCTCAAAAACAAGACAAAACCATTCATATTTTTTTGCGAAAAAAAAAAAACACACAAAAAAACAACAACAACTGACAAATAACGCAGACAATGATTTCGACAGTTGTGACGACTGAACTTTAGCATTGATAGAATCTGTTACAGCCAGCAGACTTAAGTAAAAGTTTAAAAATGTTTCCTAACTGCCAGCATTTGTTCACTTAAAATTTATGTAGTATAAACTTATGTTTAGGAAGTAAGTTTTTAATTACCTTTCCCGCCCTTGTTACAAACAGCTGCTGCTAGCAGCACCTGAAACGTTATAAAATACACATGATTATCAAATTCCTTTTCACAAAATATCATCAATACACTTTCTTTTTCATTTTCAAAAAGTGTGATCAGTAAAATTAATTCATATGAACATAAAAAAGATAAAAGTATACTGGATACTCATTCATATCTCTTTAAAGGTACAAAATACCTGCATTTGCTTATTATTTACAAAGTCCAGGATTGTATGAACTTGACAAGTGACTGATGCGGCAGTTTTCTGTCCTAAATAACACTTCTGGTAGGAGTATGATGTTGAAAATCATTAAATAAATATTATAATCCAGCGTTTTTTTTCTCTACTTTGGGAATGGTGCCCGTACCAGACTGATTGGGAAAAAAATGTGTTATTTTGACTAAAATTGGGAATTTTTTTATTGCATTTTTTCAGCTACAAATAAGATTAGTCATCATGGATAAAGATAGCTAACAGCTTCTTCTGTCCAGATAGAACTAAAGAGTGGTGATTTATATGAATATGTTGGATTTAAATGATTTTAGAAAAATCACTTGGTGTTGTGGGCATTTTAAACAGCCATTTTGGGAATTTAAACATTGGAAATTGGGAATTTTAATGTCTATTTTCTATTGGGAACAGTACCGTTTTAGGGTAGTAGTTATATAAAGAAAAAAAAACTGTAATCACTGATATAAAAAGTTACTTTTTTAATATCCATTTTGATAAATCATCATGTTAAATGGTAAAATCAATAACTGTGATAAGAGATTAACAAAAATGATGGACATGATAATCAGACACTCGAAACACTTCGACGAAAGGTTGAATACCACTAATTTATTCGTAACTATTTAACAGTACAAAATATATATAAGCTAGTTAGCACCTAATTTCGTATCATTTTAACATGAAATTAGGTGCTACCTATGGCGTGGAAAGCTCTTATGCTTTACGATTTAAGCATAACATGTTTAGTGTACATGTAAACCAGGTCTTTCTTGCACTTCATTAATAAGTAAATGCAGGTATTTTGTACAGTAAACAGAAATTAATAAATTCGTGGTGTTCAACCTATCATCGGATGTAAAGGGGGACCACTTCGCATGTGTTGGCTTTTGGAAAATCCTGTCCACCATTTTTGTTAATCTCTTATATCACATTTGTTGTTTTAACGTTATTTTTTAATTTGCTAATTCATCAAAAATGATGTCATAAAAATTAACTTTTTATATTTATCATTGTTTCTATAGTTCTTATCAATGAAATGCATGTTTATATTCTGATTTTGTACATCATTCTTTCACCGGAAGTGTTATTTGGTAAGTGTCTTCTAGCAATAGTCTGAATAATGTAGATGCTCAAAAGCGCCCTGATATCTATATTAAGCTCTTAAGGATTTCAAAATGGCGGTGCCCATTTAAGTAAGGATTTTCTCTAACTCGTAAGGTAGGCCTATATACATTTTTTATTGATTTCTATGTAATAGTTTTTCAATTTGATTTATTCATGTCATGCACATGTTATCTAAAGGCAATACAGCCATCGCAGGGCCTGTGGCCTGCTCTGGCTTTCCACAAGGATTTTTCTCTAACTCATAAGGTAGGCCTATATACATTGTTTATTGATTTCTATGTAATAATTTTTCAATTTGCAGACTTCCTGAAAGTTGAAAAAACTGTTAGACATTTGGTCTGACAAACCACGAAAATCTGTCGGACCGAAACGAAATCTGTCAGACCGAATAAAATTGATCAAAATCAAGAAAAACTTGTGTTGGTATTTGTAAAACACTTTATGTTTTTAATTTTTCGCCGTAAAAATCGGCACATTCCTAACAGCGCATTTTCATATCCTCCCTGTCATACACCAATGATTCATGGTCCCGTTTCCATTTTTCATTAAATTTTGTCTATGGTTTATTCTTTTCATCCTTTAATTGCTGTTCTGCGCGCTCCTCTGTCGTAGATTTTTGTTCTTTTTCCCAGGTTTGGCACCTTTAGTGACGCCATTTTGTATACATGCAGCTTGGATAAAAGCCGGACAGTCGGACCGATCCGGAATAAAAAATCGTCGGACCTGATCAAAATTTATCGGACATGTCCGTCGGACCGACATATTTCAGGAAGTCTGAATTTGATTTATTCATGCCATGCACATGTTATCTAAAGGCCCTACAGCCAGCCCAGGGCATGTGGCCTGCTTGGGCTTTCCACGTATAAACCACAATAACCTCCTTATACCAGCTGTCACTTGTGTCACTTATAAAAGGAAAACAATTGACAGCCTGCTCAAGGGAACATTTTGCTTTCTATTCAAAGTAAAGGTGTATTAATTTCAAAAGCGTAATGTCTAGAGATCAAGTCAATCTTCTATAAAGGCTTTATCAATAACCTTACAATTAAGATACCACTCTTTCATATCTGGTTCTGTCATACTGAATAAATTTGCAATGCATTGCTATGTTTACATACTCCACCCACTAAACTAAACAAGACTCAAACATTTTGATTAGAAAATAACAAGTTGAATATTACCATCAGCATATAACATGACATACAGCAGATAAATAATCTTAAATGCTACATAGTTCGTATAATAAACTCACCATTTTCAAGTCACTTTATTCTATAACTGCAAGAAAATTGCCAACTTCAACTATTGCCGACACTTCGCCAGCCACGTCAAGTAGGTCTATTCCTACGCGGTGCAAGTTTATCAGAATTCTTTGAAAAATTAATCTTTCTTTTATGTATTGTATATCTATGTGATATTTTTACAATAGAATTAAATATACTTTCCTCTGTGCTCCAGAGAAATAGGAGGCAGTTTTCGAATAAATAATGGAACTATTTTTTCTTGAAACCGGAAATGAATTTCCAGTCCACCGTGTTCCGGAAATGGCTTTTTGTTGTTGTTGTTGTGAGTAAGTGCTACACTCCGTTTTTACCGTCCCCTATACGTGTTGTACAGAATCGTAACGGCCACTATATGCACTGCTCTAGATAACGTTTATCTATAACATGTGCGACAGTGATAGAGAATTAAGGTGTGCATTTTCATAGATATACACATATATGTATATCTAGATCTGTGGCATGTTTATTGAGTTAAATACACATCAAAAAGAATTAATCAGCAAAGTTCGCGGAGACATGCCACTATGTATCTTTCCAAAAGTATGTAAATATTTGCGTTTTAACCAGATTAAATAAAAGTTTCAGAAGCATGTAAATGTAATTCAAAGTTACACTAGCAAACAATTAAGATAACGGATTAGGCCCTCTAACCTCTAAGGTTACCGATGACTGGCGATGCTTGGTATAGATCTAGGTGAATGTTTTGTTGAAGGAGCCTTCGATTATTACAGATTATACCCTCGGACCCCATAAGTTACCGAGAACTAATAATGAATGGTATCTAGATGAATTTTAAAAGAGACTTCTTTCTAAATCTCCTAGGTTACCAAGGACTGCTTTAACTTTGACATTCTAGAAATGATAATGTGAAATAATATAATACCTCAGATATATATACAATCTATATTTAGTTCCATGATAATACTAATCAGCCAGACCTTTGCTTGCAAAAAGTAAAACACCAGCACATATAAGTTTTAAATTATTAATAAAAATAAAGAATTGCTACAAAATTATTGAAGTATTTTAAAATTCAGGCCATCAGGATAAATGGTACCAAGCTTATATACATGTACATCCATGCAGTTTCTTTTAATAATCTTTCCCAATTGTTCTTCCCTTTATCGACTGGCATGAACGAAATTATCTTTAATAGAATGCCCTTCAGAATTAAAATGTTCAGGTACATTGGTAATAGTGTCAGGAAAGTGTTTGATATCAAATTTGTAACCACTCATTCTTTGACTACATTTTTGCACACTATAGTAATAGTGTCAGGAAAGTGTTTAATATCGAGTTTATGACCATTCATTCTTTGGCTGCATTTTTGCTGAGTTTGACCAACATATTTGCAATAAGTATACACTTAACACATATTATTTGAAAGTGTGTATGTATAAATGGTCTCATATTTGTATCAATATTGGCCCGATCATGCTTGAATTTTTAATATATATAGTAAAGAGACATGATATTATATTCTATTTATATAATTTCATTAGACAAACAAATTTAACACACATGAGCAATAAATATGACGGTGCACGAAAGAAATTAATGTTGCAAAATAACGATGTCACACGTATGCCCACCCTGTCTACATGTTAACCACAGCCGTCTTTACATGGATTTGACAAACTTGTTACTATGTTTAATTTGTTGTAGATTGCCCACTCTTAAATAGTGTTAAACTTGTCTGTGACACTGCACTCGTCATTCTTCTATCTAATGACTTATGTGGTTCTTCAATCACGTTGATGTAAAAAAAGATGTTGTCGTTTTTACTGTATTGGCCGGTGGACCATCCTGCAACATCTGCAGTATTATTCCTATAAGCATATGTCAGTTGAAGCAGTTGGCACAAAGCGGATGTCAAATTATAGTTAATGAGCACAATTTTAGCAACATCAGCCTATCTTATTTGTTTGGTTCAGCACCCAAAAATGATTGTTTAAGAGTGGGCAAATTTATCCCAAAAATGTTACCAGCCTGTGGTGGGCTTACACGGTGATTGAGTAGCTATAAGTAACATCGACTGACAACATTGTGTTTTCAAGCACTACCACGTTTATTGAGCATGTGTGTTGAATTTGTGTTTGTTATGTAATTAAAAAAAATAGAATATCAAATCATCTCTCTCAACTGGCATGGTTAACAAATAAAAGAATGTGTTAATGAGGAAAACAATGGAATGGAATTTTGAAAGGTGATCAAAGGTTATAAAGCCTGCATATCGCAGACATCCAAAGACAAATTTATAAAGCAGGCAAAATATCTTAAGGGTGGTAATACATGTACAGTATTCGAACAAGACAACAAGAAACATACCAAAAACTAAGGTATAAAATACTACAAACACAACCATAATGTCGTATCCTCAAGGATAGGAAATATAACATCTCTGACTGTTTGTACTGAGCGACTTTTACGGCTCCCGCACGGCTAAAACGATACTGATCTGACGATAAAATAGTCAACAATAGAAACCCTAAAAAATTCCAAAAATAGAAACATTGAAAATGTTGCAGGTTCGGTTTGAATGAGTAGCCTTAAAACTATAAATTGTCAAAACAAAATTGTTAAACCATATTTAAGTATCCAAGGACCGAACGACCGCTGGTTTCAACGATACACACCAATTTCCCTGAGATATCTTTATGAAAAAGTATCGCAATACCGCTGAAGTGGGTTTTTAAAAGGACAGTGATTCTGTTAGACAGAATTGCCGTTAAAAATCGAAAGAGTAAGTGTTCTTTTCCAAGTCGTTCGATGACTTTCAGAATTGCTTACCCGCCACATGAACAGCAGATGGTATCTTACCGCGTTGGCGTTAATTGTAACTTTTATGTATCAAAGTCTGTTCTTAAATACACCATTTGATTTCTAAATTAAATATTTATTTCAATGAGAAGCGTCCTTGGCCTAGGTCACGCTCAAATCAATTTAATATACGCATTACCAGCAAATCCTTCACAGAACGTCAAGACAGAATCACATAGACTGAGAAGGAACAAAAATCAATTCTTTAACTCCCCCGCGTTCTTCTAATAATAGAAACATTCTGCAGAACAAAGTCGATTGCAAAAACACGAATTTCTGGTATATTATCGGTATGTACATTTTAAGAAAGTCTGGCTGGGTTTTCTGTGACAATTTCTTTATATTTATATATAGGAGCAGCTCAATATATATATATACAGTATCACATTACTTTCTAAGAAACCATTCTGTAACGCCCACGTGAGCGTTCTTTCTGAAAGGCATCCGTTGAGAGACTAAATATTGTCGTCTGCTAGCGAGGATTTATAAAATTTGTTATTCATGTTGGAACTGCTTTAATATACATGTAAATTGCAGTTACCTAAACTTGAAACTATATTATGTCAATATACATTAACATTATCTTTTCCAAACATAACAGAATCAATAATAATCTTTTCTAATCTGAATATAATATATATAAGATGTATTATTAATTAAAATACCATTTAATTAACATACTATATGTAGTAGTTAAAGTGATATACCATTTAGTCAAATTGTAGCAATCGAAGTGTACAGTGTTTTTACAATCTATTACTAAAGTAAGGTCAAATTTCGACATTTCATTTATACAGAAAATCGAATATTGAAAATAAAGTTTATTCATCTAAATGAAGTAAACTACAGCCTTGGAACTCACTCTTATTTCGCTTCCAATTCAGTTTAAGCTGTTGTCTACACACATAGCATGTGTGTTTGATGATATAGATTAATTCCATATCGCACACATTTCAATGCATACACATCAAATGCTTTTATCATTTGGAATCTCAAGTTTAAGTAATTCTGTTATGTAAAGGCATCGGCGAATTTGGTAATTCTGGTATACCCCTCCCCACTACCCTCCGTGCAGGGTCTCATAAGAGTATACTTTATCAGCAATAGTTTCATAGAACTATCTAGAATACAGAATCGATTGTTGGTAATTCATGATTTCTACAAATTTGATTGGACGCGCGTTTAGATGCATTTGATTCTTTCAACATTTGTCCAAAATGCTGCAGCGAGAAAATCTCTGACGTCAAATCAATAAATCTGAAAATTCACACAGAGCTGAGTCGACTCATGCTTACAGTTTATTGACCTTCATTGTAAATGTATTTACAGCACTAAGCATAACACTAGGGATGGTTTGACAAACTGTACAAAAACAAAGAATGCACATGCCTAATATAAAGTTCAGGACAACAATTTATGAATGAACAAAAAGGGAGAGGAGGAATTAGCAAATGCTGTGTATATCATTAAAGGGTAAGAACAAACGTCCAGCCTACCCCTGGCTCACATCAGACGACCATTTATATATGCACTTTCATCCCAGTTCAAGATAAGGTGAAATATTGCGGAGACATTGCCTTGAGAATGGTTTTGCTGATCTAGCGACTGAGGTTCCTGTCGATTTAAACGTTTCTTTCTCTATTCAAGGTAATTTCTGGACAACAAAACAAAGATTTAAGGACAAGACTGGCTTGAAAAAAGTCGTTTGACGTTCTAGTTTACTTTAAGCTTAAACACTAGATCTAATTTTAAACATCCAGGCAATAGAAAAGTAGAGCTATATTAGGGTCATAACAAGAAAAAAATGTACTAGATATAACTAAACGTCAGGGGATGTAACTTTATACAATATAAATTGTATGTCAGGGGAAGTAACTTTACATTACAAGACAGAACTATACGCTAGGGAGTGTTAACAAAACTGTACGCCAGGGAAGGCTACTTTAAAAACTGAACGGACGTGGTTGGAGGGAGGGGACATAGGGGGAGGGATGAGCTATCTTATGATACAAAAGGGGAAGTGGGGCACATTAAACGGGTGTTACGTCAAATGGGCAAACATTAAAACAGAATATTCTATATTATTTTGCATGATCCCTATCATTTAAAAGCATTCAAAACTGGCTAGTGGCTGCATGCATTTAATTCCTTTCTTCCTATATCTCAATATTCAATATATTTGTACACGTGCCAAATCTAACGTCCAACATCTGTCTCGGATGGACACGTCAAATGTTATAAATGTTTTTTTTTATTAAAATAATATCATATATCTAAAATAATATCATATATCTAAACAACTATACAAAAATAAAATATACCTATGATATAGAAAGTTGTAGACTTTTAAAACTGAAGATAATTATGTGCATGGATGAATGTTATGTTATTTAAAAGAATAACCAATAACACTAATTCTTGTGTTTTAAAAAAAATAATTTTTTTTGCACTAACACGTCGTGGTATTATTAAGAAATATCTTTTCTTTACGCTTATAACAGGGCCAAATGAATTCTTTCTTTCAATGACGTCATTGATTTTTATTTTAAAAAGTCATTTTCTGTCTTTTTAAGCTACCACAATGCTTGTGTGAATTCAATTAAAAAGGTAATATTTTCTAGCTCTTAAAGCAGCGTATTTGCTTGAGAAAACGATATTCAATTATTCCTTAGTGGGTTTGAAGCTAAAAACAGAACGCCTGTTTGGCAGGCGCTCTGAGAGTGAAATATAGATTTTTGTTCCATTCATAACCGCCATTGAACGCAAGAACTATTTGCAATACATAGATCTGGCATTTCGTGCAATCGGTTAAAATTTTAACTTTTCTAAAAGTACACAATCCATGCATGAAAATACTTTGCTTATGCCTTTTTATGAAACACAGAAAAATAATTAAGCAAATATGAATTTTGTAGACGCAATTCCAATGCTTTTGAAAGTATAATTCAATATTAACAGACAATTTTTTCTATCCGATGTATTGCGTCGTACAGAAATCAATATTGTATTAAGCACACTCATCCATTCTGCGACTGAAAGGCAGCATTCGTACGGTGGATCATATAGTGGTATCCCTCTCTCTTAAAACGTCACATCGACTATTGATACAATTGGTTTACATTATGTGATTCAGCGAAAAAAAGAAAGCCTCGTAAGATAGGGCTGTTAGTGAAAATTAATTCCGAATGAACAGCGATATTGGTCATATTAAAACAATGGTATTTTCTAAAGAAATACTTTATTACTTAGATATTGCAATGGATTTTTAATTCGTTATTCAGGACTGAAATGGATACTTTTTTACTTCGACAGTGGTAGGCATTATTTTGTTGAATAATTATATAAACACGTAGCTGTCAAGGAGAAAACATTAAAAACTATTTATAGAAAATTATTTCTCCAATTCGTGACAGCCGTCAATTGTAAGAATCCATAACAAGTTTTGCCAAGAACGAATTGGAATTACAGAAATTATTTTCAACAGACCTGGTTCTGTTTGCCTAGTTAAACAAATATTGGAGATTTTAAACAAATATTGGACTTTTTATAACAATACGCCATTAAATGTCTGTGACAATATCACAGTGGACTATTTAACTATAAATATTGATGCTTTATAGGAAGAATGATAGCTATTAAAAGGACTGGCATCATGGTAAGTTACTATTATAACTTTATTTATTTAATGACATATAATCAGTACTTTATATACCGCGTTTTTTAGAAAACAACATAAAATTGCACTTTTCTTGCAAACAATATATATGTATATCACAATACATGTAATTAGAGAAAACAGGATTTTATATCAAGATTTCAGAGAAAGGCTGTTCTAATTTTTAACACTTTCTAAAATTTATATACGATATATACATAATTTATGGTACAGATTTTGATATATATTATTGCGGAAATAAATGCCTTTTACATTTTCGGCGGGGAGTATTCGATTCTTGAATAAAAGCTTTACTTTTTATATTATACGTTCGTAAAGCCCAATACGTGAATGAAAGAATATTTTCTATGTCTTAATTCCATTCAAAGATTTTATGTTCTTTTGATTTAATATTAAAATGGTAAGAAGGATACATGTTCTAACAAATTTGTAGACCTTAAAAAGAAATCTGCTCAACGTATTCTATACGTTAGACATGCAGATTTTCTTGCGTTTTATTCTTAGTCATTAAAATATTCTATCACCCTGAAACGCTAGGTATGAAATATCTCTTATTGTGTTTTTACATGTATATAAAGTTAGACTTTTGACTTCTCTTCATATTACCGACCTTTGCGTAAGGGTCTTGTCCTTGTCCTGCTTAAAATTGGAAAAAAATATCTTCCACACGGACTAAAACAAAGTGAAGTAAACTTAGTTTGATTTTTGAAGCATTTAAAGTCAATTTGCTTTCAATATGACTTGTGTATCTTTTTCGGTCGATCTGGTGTGATACAGGTAACATATTGACAGTTATTGTTATCATTGTAGAGGGTGGGTGGCACTATGTTCTCGTGCACTATAGCACAGTGGATATATATTCGAGTCTTCTTCATGTTTAAGATACATGTATATTAGTTCTTAGAATGGCACTGTAATCTGAAAAAGCAGGTACTATAGTAATCATAAGACAGGTCGCACATTGAATTCTATAGGCTTGCAAAAATAGTACTGTGATTTCGTTTATCACATTGTGTGTACGTATCATAGCACCATAATTTTTATTCATTGCAAATCTTAGTAAATATCACAAAAAAGGCAATTAATAATACTTATGATTTAACCGTCTTTATTTTGCCCAAAAGATCCAATGGGTCCTTCTTAAAATGATTGAAATAATAATTCATGATCAGGAGTTTATACGCGGTCACTAAATATTTAAAGAATACAGTTCCTTATTGCCAATTAGGTGGATATATCTTATGTCCCATCACCCCGCCTAGAACATGTCTTTTATAACTACAATTCTTTGATTGGTACAATTTAACCAATGAAAAGAGAACATTTTTCATTAATGATACTTGTGACATTTTTTACACTAAAGGAACAAAGTACCTTTATTCTCCCGACTCCCTATCATATCACAGGAGCATGTTATTGGTAACAATTTCCCTACGTACCAGACCCTGAAATAGGTTCACGACTCCCTCATACAGGAGCGTGTTATTGGTCAAAATCTACGAGAGCCCTTAGCATCAGCGAATAAAGTAAAAATCGAATATGTGTGTCTTAATTTGGAATTATATAGTTGCTTCTGTCTAACATCAGGGTCAACAGTATAGAAAGAATTCAATAGACGCTGTGTGTCAATGGTTTTGTGGAATAATCAATTATTGTTCACCAGTCAGCGGAATGTGAAACATTCGAGTATCAGGTGAAAGTATTTTAGAGCGTGGTAACTGCTAGACCAACGTGTTTGCATACCGGTGAATACGGAAATATATTTATAAGTAGCTTACGGCAAGCCCATATTGCGGTTGTCTGAACTTGTTTCTAGTGGATTTTGGTTGTTTCTTCGTATATTTGGGTAGTATAGGGTATTTGCATGCTTGCTGGTGATTCAATTTTACTGTGTAAGATAAAATACGCTACAAACGAGCAGCACGCCTCCAGATTTATGCTAATTTTCATGATTTTTTTGAAAATGTATTTGAATGTGTAATATTGTGAAGTAACCAAAAGAAAGCAATTTACACATTATCAATGGCACTTACAAATCACGTAAATTACTAAAAAATGGTCAAAATATGCATAAATAGCCTTTACTTGCATTAGTAACGCAGTAGAAATATAGTTGTAAATACTGAAAAATCAGTCATTAATCGCCCATAATATGCACAATTTTACTTGAATCTTGAAACATTTTACTTTTCCTTACATCTTAGAAGAATTTTTTTCTCAAGTTTGATTTTATTGGAATATTGTGACTCATCTGGAGGTATGTAGCTTTAAAGCAAAAAGCTAATGCGTACATGGCAAGATACACATTTATGTGTAATGATGTTAAACTGTTGCTTGGCTGGTGTTTCCTTTCAAACAAAACTACATTTTTCAATAAACAAGAGTTAATTTTTGTCCTTTTCAATATCTTTTTTAAAAGCAAATGTATTTAATACCGATACCAGTACAGTAAAAAGTTTCGATTCACACTTTTAAAACATGAAAACACTTACTTGAAGTTAATAATTATTATTATGTCTTTCATACTGGAAATAGGCAGTTGTGGCAATGTTACACCGAAGTTGACTGAACCCATTCTAAATTTGAATAATAGACATTTCCTATTGTTAATTTGGAAATATCCATTGTAAGTCAATTAAATAAATATATTAAAATTGAGCCTAAAACCTAGTTAGATTGACCGGATGCGCAGCTTTGTCGGTTACTTTATACACAGTGGCAAAAACCAACACTGTGCCATGTATTGCAAGCCTGTTTAGAAGCACATATGTACCTTTCTTGGCAATCGGGGCATCTCGGCTATTATTCACAATCCGATGTTTGACAGGAAAACATACGATCGCTTTCTTTGGAATCAAGTTGAAACTCTCTTGCGATATCAGGAGTATTGCTTATACATGGGTAGGTTTTATTGCCGATACTCAAATACTAAGAGTGCTTAATCATAGAAATATAACTTAAGTTAAGCTAACAATAAGTTAAATGACATTTTAAAGCCAAAAAACATAGGTGCCTATTTGGATACACATGTAAATAATGCATGCTTGTCTGTGACAAGGATATAACTAACTGAAAACTACTTTTTCATCTTGTTAAAAACTGTGGTATCTTATAATGTTGATATAGACATGTAGAGTGAACACACTGATTTTCATACACACAAATATGCAAAGTAGGCGTTTGTATTTAAGTTTATTACTTTAACACCAATTTTGTATATATAAAAAAAGATTATTACATAAGCGATGTATTTCGATGGCCGTTATATATATATATATATAAAAAAGTGACTGCTTATAAAACCATTGGCGTCAACAAAGCTTATAAATGACGTACACTATTAATAAAGATAAAAATTTGACAGCTAAAGGATAATGGCATAAACTTATGTTGTATAACTTGTTAATTTGCCAATAACAGAAAATACGCCATGAGTTCAAAACGGATTACTTGTCTGCTACATTATTTGAGCCGCGTCCCGACAAAACCAACATAATGCATTTGCGACCAGCATGGATCCAGACCAGCCTGCGCATCCGCGCAGTCTGATCAGGATCTATGCTGTTCGCTATCAGTCTATGGTTTTTAAGCGAACAGCATGGATCCTGATCAGACTGCGCGGATGTGCAGGCTGGTCTGGATCCATGCTGGTCGCAAACGCATTACGTTGGTTTTGTCGTGACACGGCTCATTTCATCAGTGCGCTAGTACTGAAAAGAATGTCCATATCCGGAATTTCGCTCGTTTATTAACTATATATTATAATACATGTATACAAATACAAGAAAAAAACGTAAATTTATATACAATTTATATAAACTAAAAAAAAAACAACGACAACAATAAACAATAACAACAAAACAACCCAACATTTAAAGTCTCAATAATGAACGGCATGCACTATTTCTAAGAGGGGCAACTGTAACAACAAGGTTACAAATGGTAATAATATGTTTATTATAGCAATATTAAAAGTTACCCTATCTCAACGCCAACCCCCTTCCTCGCCGATTTTGTGTGCATGAATCCTTTTGTTTTAAAGTTACAGTTTCTATCAGTAATGTTAGAGACTTGAAATCACAACACTTGAATTGACTATGCTTACATGTATAGAATATACTCACAAATTGGTTTCTGTTGATTGTAATTTTCCTGGAATACTTCATGATATTTTTTTACCGGTCGTGACTAACAAATACTTATCAGCTATGAATATAGCAAGCGTATTCTATGTTATATTTGAAAGACATTGATATAACTACCTATTGGCATTTGTGAGATTAAAGTACAAAAGAAAAAATTAAAATAAAAAGAAATTTTACATGTACATCTTTATTAAAAAACACAAACGAGACTCCATAAAAATCGAAGACTATATGGAAATTATGGTAAATTCTTGTGATTTTGTAATTATATTCTCATTTTGTCTCATTAAAGTATCTAACCAGTGCAAACAAATTTGAATCATCGGTGTGTGTTCATATTTGTGTTTGGATTTTGTAATGTTTTCATGTTAATTGTTTGTTTACTGTTGAATCAAAATGTTGCACTTCCGATTAATTTGGAAAGCCTTTTTGAAGATAAATATTTGAGCATTTGTGGCGGTGTGGCCGTGTGGTTGACGCGTCGGACTTACAAGTAATCCTGTTCGCTGTGTGGCTTCAAACCCGGTCAGGACAAAACATGTGTTTACACTCATTGCCTAGTACTGACTGGTTCCAAAAAACGATTCGAGAGTGTTTTAATAATTATGAAAGACCCATGGGGACGTTTCAGCTTCATGAATTTCCGATTTCATCTTCGGGTATTCACAATTTCAACTTCGTGAATTCACGTTTCCAAAAGGAATTCACGAATTCACAATTTCAGCTTCATGAATCATTCACAATCAAACTAAAATAAATTCGTATAAATCAAACCTGACTCATGCTTAAGTATTTTTTAATTGTACCAAAATAATCAAAGTTATTTTAAAATAA